TTCTTTGCGCCATATATCAAGAATTATAATGTCTTTTTTGTCCGCACGTCATAACAGCTTTTACTGGTTGCGAGATCTCTTAGAGCCAAACCTTTCTGCGCATCGCCCCTTCTAGTTCGCCTGGCAGGACAGACCACGATAGACAACACAAATACATGCACACACGTGCATTCACATGTGCGGTCTGTAGCTCGGTTCTTTTTCAGAAGGACGGGGGCCGCAAACTGGGCCGTTTCGACAGGAGTATTGTTCATCCTTCGTGGACACCTGGTCACGCACACACACACACAAGTGATGTTCTGTTCCCGTCCACAGTACACCCAAGGACAAGAAAAACACACACACGAGACACGATATTAACCGCTTCTGGCTCGTAAACAACCCCAAAGACTGCACATCTATCCTCTCCCATCTGTTTTAACGTTGGCTAACTCGATGTTTCCTCCTAGCAGCGTCTAAAGACGTCGTCCAAAGAAACAGCAAATCTTTTAAGGCGCCTAGCTGGCAGCCCGAAAAAAAATATGTTGGATGCCTTTGGGTCGACAAAGATCCTAAATAGTGCACACAAGAGGCCCACGGGCGTTCTCCCCCCACGGGCCGCAGGTTTTAAGTTTGTCCGCACGACGACGACTGCAGAGGTCCTATCAGCAGGCCATCTGTGCATGCAGCCTAGATGCTAAAGGACTTGGGACGGTTGTGTTGTCCCCCTCCCACGTATTACCACATGAAGATGGCAGGGAAACGAACGACCATGTGCGCATCCATGAGCCTCATTCATTAATCCCATGAACCTCATTCATCATTCATTCATCCGTCCAGACATTTCACTCACGAGTAACTCATCTGGGCCTTCTATAATGTATTACGTCCAGACCACCACCATCCTTAGGCCTCGACGTGGCCTGGGTGATGTCGATGTATGTGTGTGTGTGTGTGTGACAGCAGCTCAGGTGCACCGAGAAATCAACTAGGATATATAACCACGAGAGGCGGCCGCTGAAGGTGATGATTGGTGACTTATGACGATGACGGGGAGGAGGGGCGAAGATCAAGACAGGCCTTAAAACGGCCCACTCACTCCCTCCGCCGCCCTGCACGGCATACTCACACCCCCCTAACCAGCCGGCATTGAGAACAAGGATGGGGGGCCAAGCGCTGCGAAGTCATGACTCCTACGAAAAAGGTGCTGCGAATGGTAGTAGTTGCTCCCGACCGCTGTGTGGCCCCTTAGCAGGCTCTTCCTAGCTTCCTGGCTTGGCTTGGTTTGGCTTGACGCTTATGAATGGCGCTTAGGTTATGTGAGCTTCTGGCGGCGTGTGCTCTCAGGAGATGAGCGGCAAGCGCCGGTGCATTGCGGCAACGACAAGAAAGCACTTTTAAGCCGTAACATGCAGACGCGCCCATACACACGCACAATCAAGCGTGAGGTGAGAAACTTCCAATTCCCCTCGCTCCCCTTGTGTCCGGTGTGGTCCCCCTTGTTGAGGCTACACACACATCACCGAAAAAACAACACGCAGGCGCGCACACGCATACGAGACTGTGAATAGCCACATGCTCACTTCCCGTGTAGAGTCCCCACACGCAAATGCATGTGTGTGTGTGTGTGTCTCTGTGCAATTCACACGTACACAATGTCGTGTTATGTGTCCTTCTACACATACACGCGTGCATGTGCGAGTGAGCATCGCGATGCACGCATTCTAACGAACACCAGCATGTTTGATAACTAAAACCAAACCACATGCCCGGATGTGCCGTACTCGTGCACGTGTAATCGATTCACAAAGGACTCCTCTAGCAGCTGCGGACGACGGCTCCAGCGAATGCGTTTGTACTTCACACGCAGTGTACCCACACGCAGTGCAAGCTACAAGAAGGATGCCGCGAGCCACACGTTGCTGCACTCAAGCTTGCACCGTGAAGTAAGAAAGGGATAATACACCATTCCCAATCCCGATCCCGATCCCAATGCGCGGGGCTGGCACAGCGCACGACAAGATGCGAACCAACTTCATCATCAAACTACCAGCTCCTACAAAGACACAAAAACATCCTCATCATATTTGTCCAAAGAGACAAAAAAACTCGTTGGCCAGTTTGCTAAGTTACTAGCTGGTCAGCCGGTACAACGTAAAGCACGTCCCCACCCGCCCACCAAGCGGGGGGGTTATACACTATGCCGCGTCAATATGCCGCAAGCCTGTCCTAATCCCTACCGTACCGCGCTGTGCCGTACGTATACGCACTTTGGTTATATACGACAGCCGCCATGTGTGCAGCCGAGCCGGGTTTTCCTGTCCCTAAAACCCCAAGCCCAACTGGATACGGTGAACACCGTTCCGAAAAGAGGAAACAGGCAGTCCAAGGATTGCAGAGAGGACCCACGACACGCAGCGAGCGGGGGCCATCAGCCAGCCTCATCAGCAGAGAGGACCCACGACACGGTGCCGCCCGTAAACACACACGTTTTCCATGTTGCGCCAATTGCATTCCTCCTTTCTTCCTCTTCCCACGCCGCCTGCTGCCCACAGCAGATAAGGACGATGCCTGCATGGCATCGACCCGACGGTCCTTCCACTCCGTCTCACATCCCACGCCACGCGCATCCCTTTGTTCTGTTCTTGGCTCCGTAGTACACTGATCAACACACAGACATAGACACAGACACACAGTCACGCACACGCGCGCGCAAGGACAGCTGCACCCTGTTCCAGGAAAGTCGGAAAGCCTGCTTTTTAGAAACACGTCTTCCATCCTTCCCTTTCGCATCATTATCAAAGGTACGTGAGCAAGGGCTTTCCACCTAACCATACGCCAACAGCCTCTACCGCCGCAACTAACGCCCAATCCAGAGTCCTCAGCGCCCTCCGTCTGCGCGCACTGGTTGATGCCGTCCCCCCATCCCCTTCGAAGGTGATGGTGCTCATCCTCCCGCCTATCCGCCGACCTACCCTCCGACCCACCGGGGAAAAGAGCGTCATGCCGTACTGTATAGAGCCCCACTACGTAACACGGTAAACTGCTATCCATGCAGGACGCGGATACATGCATTCACGCATCCATGCACCCACCATGTAAACGCATGCGTGCGGGGAAGGATGAAGGACAATGGTGGGTGCGTCCACTATGTTGTGTGTGGGGGGGTAGGGGGTTGGGGTGGGTGTGTGGGAATGCGTGGGTGGGGGCGTATTAGCTCTGGCTGCATTTGGGATGCTCCACATACAGCCCTCAGCTGCCATCGCCGCGGCAAGTCCCCGACAAAATGAAACTCAATATGTTATTCCGTAAACACCAGCGAGCGATTGGGAGCGCACACATACAGCCCAACCTCCGAAGGGCAGGACCCCTCTCCCCCTCCTCCTCCCCCTCCTCCTCGTCCTCCTCCTCGTCCTCCTCCTCCTCCTCGTCCTCCGCCTCCCCCTCCTCATCCTTCTCCTCCTGCTGCTCCACACCATCCGTTGCCGCCGACACGGACAACACAGATTGATCGGCCGACCGCGGCAAACGTAGCAAAGATTCGGCGGCCTCATCACCACCTCCCTCTTTTCCCTCACCGTCACCTTCTCTTCCTAAGCCCTTCGTGCGCACAACCCAGTCTGAGCTTCGAGATGCCTGAGCCCTCTGACCAATCCTCAGCTCAGCTCCAAGCCCGGTGCACTCTCGCCCTCCCCCCTTCCCCCTCCTGCCCCAATCTCATCAGCCGTCAGCCATTCCCCCCCACAGCGCCCCGGTAGGGCGAGCGCAGGCGCGAGGGGCACTGTGGGGGAAGACGAGCCACAGACGAGTGAAGCTGATACCAGAGATGCACGGCGGTTGGGGGGCTGAAGGAGGGGGAGGTCAGTTCATGAAGCCCTTGCAGTTCCGTGCACCGCAGCCGCAAGGTATCCGTTCCGCACCGGGTACACTGGACAGCTGCTCGGGGCGGGGGAGTGGGTTGGGGGGGGGGGAGAAAGAGGCGGGGGCCGGCGGCAGGGAATGGGAGGGAGAGGAGTGCCAGCGGGAGTTAATTGACACCCACCGACCCGACAGCGACCCGACAGCAGAGAGCGACGCACGCGTACATCCAATAGAAATAGACACACAAGGCAGCGCCGTTGCCGCAGAGAGCGCAGAAGCCATAGTGAATTAGGCGAAGGGGACAGCGACAGCGTCTCCAAGTACCAAGACCTTACAAATGCCTAGATATATATCCTTTTTCAATGTGGATTCTTTTTCTCTGTAACTGTGTGTCCTGTAATAACTGTGCACACATAGCGTTGAAGGACAGGGCGTTGTGGAGCGCAAAAGCGGAATGCAAACATCAAAAGCGCGCCCCAACTCGACTCCCCAATATTCCCCCTAAACGCCCCTCATTCGGCCCCAGTCAAATGACGTGTGGCATGTCTTGATAGGTCCTCTCCTCCACCCAAACCCAAATTTCCCCCTCATTTAATTCTTTCTGCAAAAGGTAATAGATACATATCCTGCGTCCTGACCCCTCACTTGCACCACTTGCCCGCTCAGCGCGTACACAATCCCATCCACGTCAAGCTATTTTGTGATCCTGGATGATACGACACCTGTACGACACGTACATAACGAAGTACGTGTGCCGGTGGCGGTTCGCTCAGGACTTTCCGCACCTACCTTGTAGTCGTAGTGGAGCTCCTCGCCAGCCTCGACGCGACGCAGTGTGTAGATGGCTATGCGCTTCTCACCGCCCACCTCCACTATTCGAGCCACGCAGTTCGGGTCGCAGCAGTGATTGATGAAGCGCGCGGCGTTGCCCTGTAGGTTGGGCAGGGTAGGGTAGAGTTGGGTAGGGTTGGGTAGGGCAGGGTAGGGCAGGGTAGGGCAGGGTAGGGCAGGGTTGTATCGCGGGTGTGTGTAATGAATGATTACTGATGTTGTTACAGGGTGGTATAGCTTCACCAGCGGCCCCCTTTCCCGAGGCAGTTCCCTGCTCTCCCCTGCTAGAGGGGCACCCTAGTCCATTCTGTTGCTGTGGTTGAAGAGCTGTTTGTTTGTCGGGAGGGTGGTGCTCCCTTCGACGCCATCTTTCCGTTAGGACGGTTAGGACGGTTAGAGCTACGGCAATGCTCTGTCCTTGGCCAGCGCCAAGTAGGGCTATTACCGGTTACAGGTCGTTACGGCGTTTAGCGACATGATAACAACAAAACAGTCATCAGGTACGCCACCATCATAACAGAAAACACTAACACCCACCCTGTCAACTCAGGGTTAAGAGCAAAGGACAATGAAACACACTTTTCGGTATGGTATGCAAGGAAAATATGAAGGACGGTTTCTAAAGCATCTACACACACGCCTTGCAAGGTCCCCGTGAAACTCACTGCCAGCGTAGCATCAACAACCCAGTTGTCGTCCACAGCAAACATATAGTCAGCGTAGCCGGCCGCGTCGTACTGCCGCTGCCGTACATCGTCCAACGGTTTACGGATGAGCTGGCCGCAGTACTCGATGACGAACTCGGATGGCTCGATGGGCTCCACGGCAAACAACCCTGAGGGGACCGAACGGCGAGCGGAAAAACTTTATCCATGTAAACTTTATCCATGTAAACTTTATCCATGTAAAAAGAATGAGAATGAGTGGTAGTGGAGAAAGCAGCGCGCGATGTAACTAACGCTTCTTTGGAAAGAACATATGGAAGAAATGAAACTCGCGTGACGGAGCCTTGACTCGTGAGAGCGTGCGCGCGTGTGACGCCTCCCACGACCCGGGGGAGGAGAGCGGACCTGCAGCTCTCGGCTGCTAGGAGGGGGCAGAAGCCCTGCGCGCCCCTCTACCGTCCGCGGGAGAGAGCTTCTGCGGTCTTTCCATTGGGGCTGAGCAGCAGCCCCTGGCCAGTGCCAGGCCCGGTCAGATACTTCTAACCTCCACACGCGCAGACAGGCACACAGACACACACATCTACATGGGTGCCACGCATGCAAAAAACACGTATCAGCACCCCGCAACCCCAAGGCCCTCTCACCCCAGCCAGCGATGCGACTGCGCCCAAATTTGAGCTTCTTTGCCCTGGCCGCCAGCAGACGCCATTTCGCCACCTCCATAACCTGCTGCTGCTCCGCACTGCCGCCACCGCCACCGCCACCACCGCCGCCACCACCGCCGGTGGCCATCGTCAGGAAGCGGTGCTCGCTGGCGGCGGCGCGGGGGCGGGGATGGGAATGCGGCGGGGGTGGAGCAGCCGCCGCCACCGCCGCCTGGGCGCCGTCGGACGTGGCGGAGGTGCCGCCGCCGGCACCGGCGCGAGGACGGGCAGCGCATTTGGCGCCGCCTCTGGCGCCGCCACGCATCGGCATTACCGCCGCCGCCGCAGTGAGGCCATTGCGCGAAGGTGCCAGCGCCAGCAGCGCCGGGAGCGACAAACCCCGACTGCAGCCCCCCACCCCGCTTCGCAGCTGACGCAGCGCCGCCGTCCGGCGCTGCTCCTGCTGTTGTCGTAGCTTCACAGCGCTTTGCTGTTGCTGTTGCTGCTGCTGAATGCTATCCGAGACACTGCGCTCGCTGCCAGAGACCGGCGTGGCCGCCCGCTGACGGCTACTGCCGCCTCCGGGCCCCCCGCCATCATCACCCCGTAGAGGACTCGTCCGGTTACTGCCCGCGCTACGGCGGACAGCAGCCACAGCCCCAGCCCCAGCCCCAGCCGCTGCTGCTGCCTGCGGTTGCGGCGGTTCCGCTGGCGGCGGCAGTGGCGGCGTAACGGCGCCGCGCCGCCGCAGCCGTCCAGAGCTCTGCGCCCAAGGCCTCGCCGGGGGATCCTCCTCCACGTTTCCGCGGTCTCGCTGCTGCTGATCTTCAAGCTTTTGCTGCTGCAACTGCTGCTGCTGGTGGCTCCCTCTCCGGGGTTCCAACTCCGTCATGACTGTCGCCGCCACCGCAGCTAACATCGACACCGGTGGTGGTGAAGCAGCCGCGACGAGACGACCGTTGTCATCATCATCGTTGTTACTTCCTCCGTTACTGCTGCTGCTGCCGGCCCCGCCGCCGCCGCCGGTCCCAGTGGGCCGTGCTACTGCCTTGCTACTGCCGCGCTGGCCGGCGCCCTCTTCGGACTTCACAACAGGCCCTAATCGGCAAAGATAGCTGCTATCGCTTTGCTGCTCAGGCTCTTGCTGCTGATGCCGCTGCTGGTGCCGAAGGTCTTCCTCTAGCAGCTGCCCCGATCGGTCCAACGACGGGCCTTCCGTCTGTACCTGCAGCACTGGTACTGGAATCGAACTGGAATGCAACTGAAGGTGAACATGCGGTCCAGGCTGTTGGTGATGGTGGTACTGGTACTGGTACTGGTACTGGCGGCGGTGCTGCTGTTGGTGTTCTGTTGGCGTTGGTTGCGTATGGGTTGCTAGGTCAGGCTCCTCCTGCTTCGGCAATGGTTGCGGGTCTGGTACCTGCGGCCATTGCGGATCCTGCTGCTGCTGCGGCGGCTGCTGCAGTTGTGGCAGTTGCGGTAGGTGCGGTAGTTGTGGCGGAGGCAGTTGGTCCTGTTGTAGCTGTTGCAGTTGCCGGACAAGCAACAACTGCTGCAGCAGCTGCAGCGGGTCCAGAGGAAGTTGCAGCGACGGCTGAGTCGGCGACTGCGGCTGTAGCTGCTGCAGCGACTGCGGCGGCGGCGGCGGGGACGCCGACTGCGGCTCGTGTTGCGTTAATTCTAGCGGCTTCACCGCCGGCGGTGGCGGCGGCGGCGACTGCGCTAATAACAGTGACGGCTGTTGCGGCCGCAATGGTAGCAGCGGAGGCTGCGGCGATGATTGCGGCAACAGCTGCAGCGGATGTGGCGGCGGCGGCGATGACGATGGACACGGACAACCTTCGTCCTCAGTTGTAGTCGCCGCTTGGATGACGGCGCTACCACCCCGACGCGGTACGACTGTACGAACACTCCGTCGGCTCCGTGCGTGCTTGGGAAAGCACGGCAGGCCCCCGGCAAACGCCTGGCCTTCCTCCCCATCCTCTTCCACCTCCTCTTCTTCCTCCAGACACGGTTCTTCCGCATACAGGAGCTGCTCCTCCTGATGGCCGTCGGCATCAGCGTCCACATCAGCATCGGCACCCACGTCGGCGGCAGTGACGGCTTCCGCGGCGTCGCTGCAGGCTTCCGCCATCGCTGTATCCGCATCCGCAGCGGTGGCTTCCGTGGCGTCAGCTTCAGCGTTGCCGGTCGCCTCCGCCATCGTCGCCGGGGCAGCCGGCGGCGGCGGCGACGCCGCTACCCCTCCAAACGTCATTAGGCTCGCTTCAAGCAGCATCGTGAGGCTGTCGTGGCGCATGGCTTTGCCGTACGGTTTTCCTGGGAAAATGGCGCTATGCCAGCCTTCCAGGTGCTCCTGTATGCAGCTGCTGGTACGGCTCGGGGGCCGACGGCCGCTGTCGCTGCCGCGGCGGCTAGTGCGCCCGGCGGCGGCGGCTGCCTGCCATGACGCAAGCTCCGCTTCCGCCGCCAAACGGTCCAAGGAGTGCATGAGGGCCCCGCCGCCGCCGCCGCCGCCACTGACGCGTCTGCTGCCGGAGGCGAGGCGGAAGGGGCTATCGAAATCGTCGCCGTCGTCCTCGACCTCAGCTCCGGCGCCGCTGCCGGCCGCGGCCGCGCCGGAGGAGCCGCGGGTTGGACTGTGATGGGCCGATGCCGTACGTCGGCGATGCGATGACCGCTCGCTGTGCGCCGCCGTCGCCGCTTCCGGCTTGGTGGTGCCGCCTCCGTCAGCGTGGCTGGCGGCAGCGGCGCCAGGGCCGCCCACATCACACATGGACGCCAGTACCTCCGCCGCCAAGGCTGCCTTGGCATTGACGGCCGCCGCCGCTGCCGCTGCTCTTGTACGGCGCCCCTGGCCATCACCACCCGACATAAGCGGGTCGTCAGCGGGCAATCCGCCGCCGTCAGCTAAAGCGCGGAGCTCCTTCGCGGATATACCCCGATGGCGCGGAGCGCGCTGAGGCCGCGGCGACGCCTCCCCAGCGGCGGCGGCAGTCGATTTATCCTCAGCGTCCGCTGCAGCAGCGGCTGCACCGCCGGCAGTCGGAGGCCGCTGCGGCGGAGGCGCGCTGCTCCCGACGTTAGCAGAGCCGGAAACCGCAGGCCGAGCACTCCGGTTTCTACCGCCGCCGCCGCCATCTGCGTCCGTACGACCATCCTGCTCCCGTGCGCTCTCTAAATCCGCTGCCGCTGCCGTTGACGCCGCCGGCCCTGCATGCAAACCGCCGCTTCCACGCATGTGCCCATACCTCCGTGCACGCTTCGCCGATGGCCGCGACTGCTGCTGCTCCTGCCGCCGCCGCCCCGGCGCCTCGCCCTGGCCCTGGTCCCGACAACGGTCGGCATGGGTCCCGGCGTGAGGGTCCGCACCCGCAGCTTCTCCGTCCGATTCGCTCGCTGGTACCGACCTTGCCGCTGACCGCTCGCGTGTCTTCCCCCGCCGACTTTTCGCAGTGGCTCCGACCGCCGCATCCGCTTCACCGTCCGCGTCATCGTCCGTCGCCCCGCCGCCGCCGCTGCTTCCCTCACTCACCCTAGCCCCCCTACTCCCGGCCGCGCTCGTCCGTTGCCGCTTGGCGGAATGGTGTCCTCCCACCGCGTCATCGGACCGCGACGGAACTTCTCTCCAAGCTTTGCCACTACCGCCGGCGGCAGCGGCTCCCGTCGGGCTGGCGGCTGGCGTTGCCGCCCCCGTGGCCGTCTGCCGGCGGCTCCTTGTCGCACGTGTCGGCGCCAAGTACGACTGTGCCTCGATGGTAAAGAGCGCCAGCAATAGGATCTCGTCCAGCATGTCGTTCACGATAGACATGGTTTCGCGGTTGCTGGTGCCGACGGCCACGGCCTTCACCGTTCCGGAGGCCGCTGCCGCAGTAGCAGCAGACCCACCAGCAACTGGTGGGGCAGTAGCTGCCGCTGATGGCGCCGGCGGCGCACCGTTGCTGGCGCGAACGATACGACGTGGCCGCAACAGCGATGTTGGGGATGACGCAGTGTTAGCGCCGGAGCCAGCAGCGGCGGCGGCGGGGGCTCTATCGTGCAAGGTGTCGGCCGCAGCGGCCGCAACGCCGTTTCTCACCGCTGCCAAGGCCTCCACAGATTTGGCCCTAAGGCGTCCGGGCGACTTCAACCGCGATCGCAGCCGAGGCTCCCCACGGACGTCATGCGCAAGTGACGGCGCCCCCTCCTCAACAGGCTTTTGCGGGTTACTTGCCACTGCGGCAGCACCTGCCGTACCAAGCCCCACGCCGACCTGGTGCTCCGTCGCCACCGATCCAGCCACGGATGGCGTTACGGACGTCTCCTTGCCGTCGAGCGGCCGCCCCGAAAGCCCACCGTCCTCTTCCTCCTCCTCCTCCTCCTGTTTCACGATTTCAAATCTCACGGCAGCTCGCGGACCTCCCGGCGTAGCTCCTCCTCCTCCTCCCCCCGTGGAATCGACAGCTCCCTCTGCCTGCACCGCCCCTACCACGCCTGCACCCACGCTATCGACCTCCATAGATGCCGCCTCAGCCCGACGCTTGGACT